TGTAGCCCAAAAGTTAAGCAATAATTGTTAAATAATCGGTACATATTGCCAATTTGGTTTTTTTGGATCCTTTTTTCAAACCTTATATCTTATTGTGTCCCGACGTTAAACATGTCAAACATGATGTGTAAACTGGACAATAGAATGATAATTAACCCAAAAAATTTAATTGCTCTGCTAAAAAACTATTTTACTATTCGATAGCCCGTCAAACCAATGGCCCCTCCTCAAAACTAAAGGGTTTTTGCTAGTATAAAGTATTCATAATGTTATGATTATACCATACTGGATTTTGGGTTCAAACAAAATCAGCGCATGTGATTAACCAAATGATACTAATTAACATTTTATTTTATTCAAATTACTATTGTTCGTTTATTTGTTTTATTTGTTTTTATTCAAATTATTCGCTTTATTTGATTTTATTATTCGCTTTATTCACTTTATTCGGATTGTTTGCTTTTATTCAAATTATTATTATTCATTTTATTTGCTTTTATTCGAATTATTACTATTCGTTTTATTCGTTTTATTATTATTCGCTTTATTTGAATTATTTATTTACTTGAATTATTCAAATTATTTGTTTTATTCGAATAGAAGCCCCAACTATTACTCATGATTATGATATTATTTTAGTATTGCAATTAAGAAAGCTCCTCCAAAGAACTTTAGAAATATTTAACCAATAACTTAATTACAATAAAAAAAGAGTTATTGGCTTATTAAATTAAGCCAATAATCAACTAAAAATAGTGGCACTTCAATATTTACTAATAGGCTAGGCTTTTAGACTATATGGTAAAATACTAAAAATATTATTAACTTATCAGTATGCCAATACCTTAATTATTTTTTAAAAAATATTGGTCAGATATCAGATTCTGATATTTACTGAGATACCCCATTACCCAATTTGGCATCATTCAACCAGTAAAAAGAGAACCAATAGATTATATATAAGCAAAGAAGATGGGACTCTAAATTAGCACAAAAGAATTTTAAATCATGCACAAACATAATAGCTTGATAGCTTGATTGACATAGTGGTGCAGTCTTGGATTCCATGCAATTTTTTTATTGTATAATTAATTATACATCTTTAATTTAATCATTTTTTTGTATGTATGAATGCATCCATATACTAAATATTCATGATGGCCATGATTATTATTCAATGTATTTGATATCACCATTGACATAACAAACAATTGCATCACCCAGGTAGTAATAATACCAAGGCCATGAAAAAATGAAACTTTTAATAATGTGTGTCTACTCAGATCTTTGGGATTCATAAAAAAAAATATTTTTCCTGATTATCAATTATGCTTCTTTATGAATAATAAATCTGATGTTGATCACAGGTGTCATATTTTATTAAATTTTCCTGCCACAAATATGCAAGACAGTGCAATTAAGCACAATTAAGCACAATGGATTTTTTCCACGGGTGAAATAGCCTTGTACATGATAATGGATTGAAACAGATTTCTTTTTAAAATTGATGAACATTAAATTAATTATTCAATATTAAGTAAAGTCAAAAAACCTAGATTTACAATATTTCATAATAATTGAAATATCAACACAATTGGAAATAACAGATTTTCATGTAATATCTATAGATTTAGTATTTATGATAAACCTTATTGTTTTTATTATTATTATTATACTTATGAAAACAAATTGAATCTTAGAAATAATAATAAGTATTTTCATTTGTTGGAAGAATCTGAAGTGTATAAATTACTAAAGAAAAATTAATTACAAATTAGTATTTACATACATATATATTATTAAGATTTACATTTTTAAAATAAATTTACTGTGGAGATTAAATTAGTCATTCATTAATCTTCTTTTACTATTATTACTTGGATCTTAATTAATTAAAAAATATTGTTAGTAATCAATAGTAATTTCAAATTAATTAATAATGAAATTTTTATTCACCTTTGTTAAGATCAACCATTTAATGAGCTATCATTACTTGTATATCTTTTTAAGCTTTTATACTTAGCAATCTCATCATCTAATATTCTACTTGTATGATATGCATCTGGATGTGATTCGTGTACTTGTTGTGAATCACTATTATTATTACTAATAATAATATTATGTTTATTATTACTACCACTATTGATATTATTATTATTAAGAATTTCTTTCAATTTCTTAATAGCAAAATCATAAAGCTCTCTAATAGTTGGTCTTTTTGATGGATCCACATCCCAACACTTCTGCATTATTTGTGCATAATCATCAGGCATTCCAGGTAACGTTGGTGGTCATAAACCTGCATATATATTAAACATAAAGTGATGATTATGAACTCTATCATCAAATGGTGGCGCACTATAGATATCTGTTTCTTTTGTGTTTTTTTTTGCCTCCAAGTAGCTCAGGTGAAATATATGATACAACACATAGATTTTATTTGATAATTTTTCATCAACTGGTCCACATAATCCCAAATCTGTAATAAAGCAACCACCTCCTTGCAATAATATATTACCACTATGTGAATCATGATAAATTAAATCTTTTTTCATGTATCCAATATAATGCCTCACATAAATAATTAAAGATTGTAATTCTATCTTTCAATGTTAAATTTAAATGATTTTTTTGCAAATAATCTCTTAAATTTCCATCTGATAAATAAGTTAAATCATTGCATATTTTCCATTATCTGGGAATTTTTAGTTATACCAAAGCAATTAACAATCATCTCTGACTTAATTTTACAATAATTCATTACCTGAAATTAATATAAAATCAATGAGTATTATATAATACAGCATTACTTATTTTTGTTTTAAATGACAACCACTAACCTCATTAAAAAAGCCTTTTCCTGGATTACTTGAATCATTTAACCCATAATTATGAAACTCCTTTTTATTTTCATTGTAATCATAAATATATCCCCTTGTCCATATAGCATTAAAAATTGAACTAAATACACATTAAGTTAATTCAGATTGCTCAAAAGGTAGCCATTCTAAAATATAGTTTGGCTGGAATGTTTTCATTTGACATTGTTGAATAAAATTATCAATTATGTTATTTCCAGATGTCCAAGTAGTGAAAGACCCTGTAATTGTAAACTGATCCAACCTTCACAGAATCTATCAGAGTATCTTATCAATTTACACTCATTACATTCTTTTGGTTTGCCTGATTCATACATCACATCATTTAATTCAGAATCATAAATAAACCTTTCTTTACAATATTCTTTTTCATTTTCAGGAAACCCCTTGTTTTTTTTTTACTAAAGACAAAAAATAATCTTTTCTACTTTCATTATCAGAATTAACCATTATATTTTTGCCCATTTCATTATAAATTTTAAATACAAATTCCACTCTCCCTGGTGATATCAATGATAAAATTTATTATATGATATTATGTAAAAATAAATGTTTTTAAAAATTTAAAACTCGATTGGAACCCGTTTTTGTTTTGTTTTGAGAACCTTTTCTAGAGGATTGTAACAAACAATTCATCCATAATGTTATTGGGCGGATGTACTCTTTCTGGTGATCATTTACATTAATTGACAATATGATTTTAAAATAAAAATTGCTTTATTTAAAGAACAACAGCATCAAAAAAAATTTTTTATAATCACCAAACTCTAGTGATTGGTTCATCATGATGCTAGTGATTCGACGATAAAAGGATTTTGGCATTATTTTTTTCCTATTTTTTATTTTTTATCACTTTAAAACTTGCAAAATCTTGTACCCAAACCTATATTATATTGTTCTATGTACCAATATTGACCAGCATATGTTGAACTGTGTATTTACTATTACATGTAGTTAACTTCAAAGTCAAAAATCGAAAAAATATCAAGTTAACATACCAATATTGATCAACTTTAAAACTAGATAGGGAAATATTGAATGCTTATCTAAAACAAATATTAATGATATTTAATAGCTATTGTCTAGTTCTACAATTCATTGTCGAGATAACTTAAAAAAAATCACTGATTTCAGGGTTATTTGCTTTTAAAATCGTGTTCTTATTATATCACATGATTTTTTTACAAATTTGCCGATCTTTTTATCAATGAAATTTTTTGTCGAACCAATCATATACCGACACCAACTGAAATAATTACCAACATTCAAAATTTATTAAATTGAATTATATTTGAGAAAGTGACTTTTAAAATCAAAAATAAGATCATCTATTGAATTGAGTTGCAATTTTTATCATTGAAACTATATTTTTTAAGACTATTGAATATACTTTTCCAATCTTCACATTTTTTTAATCCTTGATCTTTAATTTGTACCAATACTTCACAAGTTATTTTTTCTATTTAAAAATAAGCCAAAAACATCAATAATTACTTGAATATTGTTATAAATTTTTTTTAAATGAATTGATGATATAAAGAAAGATATTAAACTTTTATGACGGTATGTGCTTTATAAGGTTATATCCTTAAATTGGGTAAAATTTGTTTGTGAGGTGATATATTCAAGTGTGTACAAAAAGCGGGTAAAAGTTTAAAATTTACTAATACTAATACTGATACTAATAAGCTTTGCATGTCCGGCCGAGTCTTGTTGAGATTGTGTTACGCATTGAAATTATCCAATCAAATTGGTATTTTTGATTCTACTAGTTTCTAAACTTGTGCTGGGCACTGATAATAATAATAATTATAATAATTATAATAATATAATAATAATAGTTATGAAATCAAGAATCGCTCTGTACGGCAATTAAAGGTTAAATAAAAATTTCAGTCTTAAATAATTCATCATAAAGGAAATTTCTACTTATCATTCATTTTCTCAACTTGCTAGAATTCCTTTCTTTTATAGCGTGTATGGCATCTACGACCTCCATAATTTCTACGGCTTTTATAGTATTTGTAGTATTGAAAGCATAAAAAATAATTAACTTCCCAGCTAGAGACACCATTTCCTATTTTCATGTAATGACATATTTGTAACATATATTTAGCAAAAATGCATGTCAATCATAAACGACATTTTATTATTTTCACACAAATAATAATTTTTAGGGGAAAAAAAAGTCGTGTCTTTTTGTTTTTTATTTTGTTTTTTTTTTCAAAAAAAATTTTTTAGGAAAACTAATCATCGTCGTGATATTATTAATAACAATACAGATATCAATATTTAGTTTAGTAATAAAAGTGAAACCGTTTTTATAATTATTCTTCAACACATCACTATCATTATTCATTTAGAAATTAAAAAGTATTTTACATAAATATATATATATATATACATATATTTAAAATCAAATATAAATGTCTCTTAATGAACAACAAGCGAAAAAACTGGTGAATGACATTTTATTATTATTAAAGGATTTTAAATATTAATGATTTGGTAGATTTGGTAATAAACTATACATACATAATTAATATTAATAAATAAATTTTAAAATTTTTTAGGCGGTTAGTTTACAAGGTGCTGCCACTTGTTTATTAACGGCTGCTCGTACACTAACGGCTAATAATAACAGTCATTTAGAAAATGAAAAAGAAGAGCAACGTGAATTAGATTTACTTCGAGAGTTTAATTCAGGTGATCTTAAAAGTTTTCTACTTCGATATGTTGAGACACTCGTTGAAAATGATGTGATATTCAAAAATTATGAAAATATCAATATAAATAGTAATAGTAATAGTAATAGTAGTAGTAGTAAAGGAGCAAAAAAAGACAAGAATCAACATCAAAATGATGCTAAAGATTTTGTCTTGGGATATTTTAATTCACTTATTGAAAATGATCTTATGTTAAAATCATTTTTGAAACCGGGAGCTTTAGATCCAAAGAGACTTGCCACCGCTAAATCATCAGCAACAACAAGTGGTAAAAAGAAAAGTAAAGTAAATGTGAATTCTTTAGAAAATGATGCACTCACGGAAATTGAAGAATTAACTAAACCGATATCAAATAATATCAACAATAAAAACAGCAATAATGATAGCAACAGCAGTAGTAAGAACAAGAGCAAGAGTGACCCCAATGCTGAAAATGATCCCAAGAAAAAACGCAACAGAATAAAAAAACCTGTTGATCCAAATGCGCCAAAAAAACCCGCTAGTGCATTTCTCCTTTACCAAAAAGATGTTCAAGAACAAATACGAAAAGAATTTCCTGAAACTAAATGGAACGACGTTTTGCGTATTATTAGTCAACGATGGCAAAATCTTTCAAACGATGAAAAAAAGGTTGTTAATAATAATTATATAATCATATATATATCATATTCATATATCAATAAATTTAATAAATAAAATTAACTCGATAAAAACAATATTATAATTACAATTAATATTAGATATACGAAACCAAATTTCAACAAGCAAGACAAATCTTTGAGGCGGAATATAAAACTTATATGGAAAATAAAGATAATTTACCACCGGCTACGTCAGGGGTCATTGAAGAAGGTAAAGAAGTTGCTTCAAGTTCCAAAAATTTAGCAAAAAAAGCTATAAACGAATTACAAGATTATACTGATGAAGAAGATGAACAAGAATCAGATAATGATGGTGATGGTAATGATGATGGAAAAGATGACATCCATAACGACGACGATGATGATGATGATGACGAAGAGGAGGAGAATGGTGACTGGGGAAATAAATCTGATGATACAGTTAATGAAGAAGAATCTTCAAGAACGGCAAATAAGTTATCAAGCCGAAAATCAAAATCTCACGAATATTATGCAAATTCTAAAGCACAAAATAATAGCAGTGATGCTGGTGTTAATAGTAGTGGTAGCAGTAGCAGTACATCGAAGAAACGTAAAGATGTTGTAGACGATAGCGAGGACAATTCTACAAGTCCTATTAAAAAGTCAAAGAAGGAAAAGAATAGTTTTTCAAATGATGATGAGAATGATGACGATGATAATATTTTTGAGCAAACAATAAATAAGAAATCTCATCATTCCATGGTAAAACAAGAGGATGAAGATGAAGATTCTGTTTATAATTCTTCAAATAGACAAAGTAACAAAGATCAAAGTAATAGTGAGAATTTACATAGGTCATCAAAAGATAAATCTAAAGATAAAAAAAAAAAGAAACCAAAAGATAAAACAACGATAAAATCCATAAATTAAAATAAATGGAAATAGAAGTGCAATTGAGACTGGAATTATATAAAGATATGGAATTTTTTTTTAATGGAATTATTATCAATATTAGTATAATTTTTTTTGTGTTGGCGAAGTGATCAACAATTTATTTCCTTCGTATTTTTAATGTAGTGGGAGAAATTAGTAGTAGATTTAAAATCTTGATATTATAATATATAAGCACAACATATTCTGTTTCTTTTATTTAGGATAAAAAAAATTTATAGAATTTTCTTGTATATATTGCATACATGTCTGGATTGTTTTTCATTTTATTTCAAAATTATATATTTTACTCTTTCTTTTTATTATGATTAATATAATACATGCTAAATTATAAATCATATTTTTATCTTTCTTTATAATGTGTATGTATGTTGTTGTTTGGACTTGCTAATTAATTAATTATTCAATAAATTTAATAAATTTTAATTTTCAAAAAATACATAAAAAAGATAAAAAGAAACGAACGAATAAATTATTATTATTATAAATAAATAAAAAAGTACATATTATATAATAGCAATAATTGATTATATAATTGTCCTTTGGTTATTGTTATTATTGATAGAAACTAAGCTAAGTATCTAATTGTGGATGGGTCAACAGGATCTCTTTTCAAATACTCACGATTAATCAATGATTCAATTCTTTTCTTGATATCGGGAAGCTGCATCAATCAAAAAAAATATATATTAATTAATCAATTTAAAATTTGTTATTAAAATAGTCAAAACAATTATCATTGCTATTTGTTTTGTTTACCATAGCTTTAAATTTCAATTGACTTAATAATTCAGTAATAATTTCACTGTAAGTCAATGATTTTCTCATTTTCATTATACGAACTAATGCAGCATCAACTTGATATTGACGATCAAGAAATACACGTTCCGTTGTATCTTTAGCTTCTTCCAACTATAAATTTATTTGATAATGAAAAGAAAAAAAACAAACTATTTAATTGTAATGCTAATGTATATATATAAATATTAATGAATAAATTGATTGATAAACAACCGTTTCTTTCAATTGGATCGAATTGATCTTGACACGATAATATTGAACATCAAATTTTTCATTAATAACAAATTCGTCCGTTTTATTGACATCTCTTCCTTTTGGAAATTTGGCGAGAACTCGTATTTTCCCGCATGCTAATGATTGGAGCGTAAGTGTAAGATCTTTATCCTCTATTATTAATTGATTAATAGAGAATTAATTCATGTATAAGATTAATTAATTTACTGTAAAAAATTTTTATTTACTAACCCAATCCTGTAATTGCTTTTATTTCTTCATAGGTTACTCGTTGTGATACATCTTCATAATTATTATAAATTAATAATATCACTGCTTGGTATAAACTTACCACTAATTCTTTATTTGACTATATTATACAAATATAGACATATATTAATTAATTAATGTATTTATCTATTGATTAGTAATACAAATAAATTAGTCAAAGGTAGAAAATCGACAGCATACTATTGGAAAATTTGCAGATATTATACAATGTCCTAATGAATTTTGCCATTTTAAATTTCTACCGCTATGTTTACTCAAGTAAAAATCCTTAAAATTTTCTTGACATTTTGTCATCTATATAAAAAATAATTACATGTGTGTTATATATGTGCAAATATAAATATATTGTTACTTTTTCTTTAAAAAAAAAATATGATAACTTACATATGGTGGCAAATTACATGGATTAGGGGCATAAGTAGGCCAAAACCCTTGTGTTAGGATATTAACAGAAAAATCAATTTTATATTTTTTCATTTCTTCAAATGCTTTTGAGTCCTAATATTAATAATATATATTTACATTCATATACATGGAGAGAATAAGCGATTAATTCATAATGAATAAGTTCAGAAAGTAATAATAAGAATTATTAGTTAGTTAGTTATACTTGCTTGAAAAGAGCGCATGAAATCACGAGATAAATCTATATCTTTAAACATTCCCTCAAGTTTACCAGTAAATCCAGGTCCACATTCTATATGTAATTTATAAAGTTCAATTAATATATAATATATTTATATATAAATATTTATACACATATAAAACCAACCTTTCCTTAGTTTAGTTAGCATGCTTTTTTCATAATCAAATGACGCACTTTTGTTTAGTAAAAGCCTTTTGGCAAGATCGCGTTTATAAAATGCTTCGAATATATCTTTACCTAAAACAATACAAATATACTAATTATAGAAAATACACATTTATTTACATTTTTACCTAAAATTTTTACCTTGAATATAACGAAACAAAATCAACACTTCGTTTAACATATGTTCCATTTCTTTATCATTCATACTCTTATTTCCTTGACGTAATTTCTGATCCACATATTTAGCTACCAATTAATGAATTAATTAATTAATTAATTAATTTTGTGAATTATCCAAAGAATTAAAAAATTTTATATAACTCACCAATTAATTCGGCAGGTTTATTTTGTCGTTGATTAATAAACAGTTCAAAACTTTCTTTTACAGTATGAACAAAGTTAGAATTATTTTGGAATGGACCATTAACAATCGAGTCCATTCTTGCTTTTAATTTTAACAATTCTGGTACCATATCTAATTCATTATTAGTATCATTAACTATTTGTTTACCAATTTCCTGAAAATTTTGAAGTTGTGAGGATTAAAAATTATGCTGAAGATCAACTTGGGATATCGAAGACCAATTTTTACCTTTATATAAGAACCAAAATGCGATCGTATTTTATCGAGGGCATTGACTCTTAAAAAGAGACCATACAGTATTTTTAATTCTTCAATATGAAAATCAATATCATCAGTGTCAACCATATTAATAAATCCTACGTTATATTTTTAAATCAAAAAAATACATACTGATGTTAATATAATATTTTTTCCCTTGCTAAAATTAAAAAAAATTAACTAACCTTTATCTAATATAGTATCAACGTGTTTCATTATTAATTCTTCGTCAATAACTTTTAGTAAAGGATCCGTTGTTTTCTTATCCAAATATTCAGCAGCTCTTGCACTCTCAATTGATAACCGGTTTGAAACATGAATTAAGTATTGTGGTATAGAAAATTCGCTGACCAGACGTTGGCCCTCAATCATAAAATAGCTTCGTGTCTCTTCCAAAAATGGATTTTCAAATCCGTGATAGTATATGTTAAGATCAATGAACATCCTAATTAATGATTTAATTAGTGCATGGTCAACTGCATCTCCATTCCTATACATAAATCCAGAGAGTATATGAGTTGTGTATATATAAAAACAGAAATTAATAATAAATATATAGATAAATACAGAAAAAAACGTACCTTTCTTGCTTGATGAGTGATAATATTCCATTTAGAGTCTTGTTACGTATATTAGATGCTATCATAATATGTTTTCTAAATAATTCCAAACCCAAATCCCTAAATTTTATTAATTACAATAGACTATATATTTAAATGTATATATATTCACACACACATTTATATTTATATTTATACGTGTGATAATAATATATATATAATTATGTAGATTGTATAAACAGTATATTACCATATTGATAAAATCCCACCAGTTTGGAGTACATATGTACGATCAAGATATAAAAAGATACTTCTAATTAATACCTATAATGTACATGCTATTAGATTACTATTAAATCAATATTTTTTTTTGAAATCTCAAAATAAAATAATATTCGTTACTATATTATTAATATTACCATATATTTACAATGTTCTTTCCAACTTTTATCAATTGATCTGAGAAAACTGATCTCACTGATTTGATTACTACAAAAACAAATTAAAAAAAATCAACCAATAAATTATACCACCACAATATATTGACCCCACGAACATACTTTTGAATTTTTTTACCCTCTAACAAAATATGTTTTTCAAGTTCAATACGTAATCTTTGATAAAGAGATTTAGATAATTTGTGTAAACAAAGATTTTCACATGCTTTATAAAGTTCTTCAAGACCAGCATTCACCGATTTAGAACTATAAATTGCTTGAATTGCACTTGCAAGTTTTGCCCACGTTTTCTCCTCATAATCTGCAGGTAATGATGATTTTACTATTTATTTATTATTGGAGGGTGATATAATGAGAAAAGGAATCAAATATGTTAATAATTATAATTTATCGGGTTGATCACAATCAATCGTAATACCTTTAAGTGGTTTAATAATCAATTTTTTAACAGGAGCTTTAGCATTATTATTGATATTTTGTTGAAAATAAGCAGATTTATGTGGGAGGTCTGAATGTGAAGGAAAAATAAAATCTTTTCCATGTTTAGCAAAATTATAATTAATTGGTATTAATTTTTCTTCGGTTTCTGCTGAATCATTTATTTCATACGGAATTGGAAAATTAGAGATTGAACCATGTTGTTGTTCTTTTTCCTCTTTTAAATCTAATTTAATACGTTTTGCAGTGACTTCATCATCATCAAACAAACTTGATCCTGGAAACATTTGAATTTTTATTTTTTTGGTAATACAACACAATTTTGGGATAGCAGATTTTTTTTTTAAAAAATAAAAAAAATATAAATTTTTTTTTTTATAAATATTGGAGATTCAAAATCACATACACAAACAAAATCAACATCAATTACATTAATCATTAGTAGATATGGCATTTTTTGGAGCTCGTAGTTGGCCCACACCAATAGTAAGACCATTAGCACCTTTTCTTGCAAGTGGGGCAATTATCTTTTATGCTGTATTTAAACTTGAAACCAAATTACAACAAGGTGATTAGATTATTTTGTTTGCTAATAAAGGAAGACGATGATGGTAGTGGTGAAGATGATTGAATATTATTTATATACTTATTAATGATTGTTTATATGTTTAGAACCTCCATATGATACTGATGTTCGAAATCCTAGAGGTAAGAAGTTTCTTCAATTAAAAATTACAATTTTCTATAACTTGCTTTTAATTTTAATGCTATTTATTTATAATCTAGCTGAAATAAATCAAAAAATTAAAGAGAGTCACCATTAAACGTTGCGTTGGTAGAATGTTAGAACGTAGGAGACAACAAAATAAAAACATATATATAAATTAATTTTATTAACTTTTTTCATGAAAATAATGAAAATAAATCTTTTTTATTTTGAATAATTTCTTTTTTGTACTAATTGTTTCCAATCATTCTTATATTTATGAAATAAAAACATGCAAGTTTGAGCATCTGAATCAATAATTAGAGAAGGGAACGTTCATAGGAAAAAATACCCTATATAAGTTTTAATAAATAAATGTTATATTTACAATTGATTTTTATAGAAAATCCCTGTTTGTACATAGCATTAGTATCTTTATAATATATATGTATAGAACAAATGTTTTCCAATTCTGATTCTGCCAAATTTTTTTAAAGAACAATTACAAATGGCATATATTTTGAAGTGTCCGTAGATCATCCGAGCAGTATGGCAGTATGACACGTAGTAGCAATAATTGTGCATGCATGAATATATACGGGATATGTAAACCAAATATTCATTTATTTTTTACAAGTATATCTTTTAGATCATTATGGATGACATGCCCAACAATAACCCTATAGGACATCTTTCTACTTGATGAAAATTAATTGTAACTCTGGGGCAAGTGCCTATTTTGTTCAAGATTTAAATGTGCCGATTTTTTATTTCCTAATTTGGAAAAGTTTTATCTAAAAAATTTTGCTATATGAATTGCTTTTTTGAAAAATTGCTCGGGTATTAATTAATTAAATATTTATTTATTTATTTATTTATCGACGTTATTATGTATGAGTTGTATATGGGATTGTATACTTTTAAAGTTTATTATGACTGGCTTGGAAAAGAATAAGTGTAAGAAGGTAAGAAGTGGTTTATTTTATGAAATTCATTCTCTTTGATTTATTTAAAAAAAAAACACAATAATTTTTCAAGAAAAATTTAAAAAATGTCAGAAATTGACGATAATTCTGTTGCAACTGATGATTACAACTATGGAGAAACAACATCAACGAGGTCTGTTAATTATCATCATGGGCAAAGATATACTCTGAAACTTAATGAGAAACAAACCAAAGTTCTAAAGGCGATTTGTGGTACTTTGATAGGATGTCTTGATGATTCTGAAACAGATTCATTATGTTTTAACACTGAAAACTTGACACCACCCTCCACCTCTGCCACCACTAAAAGATATTCTATTAATACTAGTGCTATGATGATGTTAAAAAATTCAGAAAAAATACGTGAATTTGCTAAATTTGATTTATCAAATTCAGATGAATTTATTGAACGTGTTTTAGATCGTTTATCAAAATGTTTAACAGTTGAAAAATTAGCGCGCATCAGTGGAGTGTTGAAAAAACTTGGATCTAAAGGTTTTATAAATGCTCAGATTGCCAATTATAACAAACCATTTTATGGACTCACAAAGAAACAGCAAGAACAAGTTATTTTGAAATGGAGTACACACTCGACAGCTTTTACTAGAGAACTTTTCAGGACATTTACATTTTTCATTTGTTCTACATTTTGGTTAGATCCATATGGATTTAATTCTCTAATCGGTTATCCTGGTCCAGATCCTGAAGCAAACTCTTCACGGTTTACTTCACGTCAATTTTCCACTTTCGAATTTCTTAAAATCAATAACAACGATGGTATTGTTATCAACACTTGTGGCGAGAGTAGCACCAATACACAAAATAAACCAAAAAAAGATCAAATTGACCAAGGAATTGAAGCTGATGGAACGAATGGAGAGAAATTGGAGGAGGAAGATTTAAATTATGATGTTGTGGTGGTAGGATCTGGTTCCGGTGGTAGTGTTATTGCTGCACAATTGGCAAAAGAAGGTTATAGTGTACTCGTAATGGAAAAAGGTCATCATGTGCCACCGAGTGAGTTGACCTTGAAACAAAGTAATTCTTATGAAGCTCTATATGAAATGGGTGGTGGAATGTTGTCAGAAGATGGTGGTGTAATTATTAGTGCTGGTTCTAATTTTGGTGGTGGTACTACTATTGGTTGGTCTGCTGCATCTGAAGTAATATCCATTTTTTTGATTTTTGGTTTTTTGAGAGGGAGGGAAATTTTTAATAATGATTATAATATATATTTTCTACATCTCTTTCTCTAAATAACTATCTAGCCGCAGCATTTTGTTCGTGAAGAATGGGCTAAAAAATACGGACTATATTATATATTAGAGAAAGAGTATAGTGACTCGATGAAAGCAGTGAGTGGTAGATTAGGCGTGTCAACTAATAATATAGTTCACAATAAAAGTAACAATATATTGATTGAAGGATGCAAAAAACTTGGTTTACAAGTTGATACAATACCTCAATGTACCGCATCAAGATTTCACTCATGTGGTTGGTGTGGATTTGGATGTAAATATGGCGAGAAACAAAGCGCAGTGATGACTTGGTTATTGGATGCAAAGAATTCGAAAGCAAAGTTTCTTGAAGATTGTTATGTCGAAAAGATTTTAATTGATAAGAAGACGCAAAAAGCTGTTGGAGTCGAGGCAATTATTATTAAACAACAACGTAAATTCAAAGTTAAAGCAAAAAGAGTTGTTTTAGCTTGTGGTGCTATTCATACGCCTGCTTTGATGTTAAGAAGTGGATTGAAAAATAAAAATATTGGTAAAAATTTACATGTTCAACCCACTGCTGGTGTATATGGTGTATTTCCTGATAAACAAATTGATACTTATTCTGGCTCAATAATGACTGCGGTAAATTTTTTTGAAAAATTCTTTTAAATATATATATATATATATATATATGTATATGTATATACTGTATATGTTAATTAAATTTTTAATTTCTGTAGGTATCAAATTTTACAGAAAATGTAGATGGCAATCATTATGGATCAAAAATAGTTGTAGGATCTCATCATCCTGCATCTATGGCTGCCAATTTTCCATGGAATTCTACATTTAAACATAAACAATTTATGTTGGAATACACACACATTTCACCGTTACTTGTTATAACACGTGACAGAGATGCGGGAAGAATTGTGATTGATTCACGTGGACAACCAAAGCTTTATTATAAGGTCAGTCAGCATGATTCCAAAAGTGTCATAGCTGGTATTATTGCCAGCCTTAAGATACTTGTTGCAGCTGGAGCAAAAAGAGTTGGAACATGCCAAGCCGGATTAGAAGAATTTGAAGTTAGTGATGATGTGAATCCGTTGAATGATGTTAAATTTCAATGCTATCTTGATAAAGTTAAAAAAATTGGTGCTCCATCAAATCAAATTTTACTGGGAAGCATGCATCAAATGGGAACTTGGTAAGAAAGAGAATGTACATGTGAGAGAGAGTTTGTGTGCACATTTGTTTTTGTGGGTATGTAACATTTATTTATCATTTTTAATAGTTGTATGGGAGATGATCCGATCAAATCGGTTGTGAACCCGACTGGAGAAACATGGGAAGTCGAAAATCTTTTTGTGGCTGATTCCAGTATATTTCCAACTGCTATAGGGGTTGACCCAATGATAACAATTATGAGTTTTGCATACATGATTGCAAAAGCAATTTCTGATAAAGATGCAGATGCAGATGCCAAAAAGGTAATTTTTAATTTGTTTGTTAATAGTAATTATAGCCTTCAGTTGGAAAAGGGTACCAACATATTTTATTTGTAAATTATAGAGACGAAGTTCTATAAGATGGTCTATGAATGATGTTCCTAAACGAAAGCTGAACAGATTATCATTAGGAAATACACTTTCCAACAGTTTTAATGGCTCATTCAATTTACTCAATCGTAAAAAAGGGACAGAATAATTAGAATAATTGGAGAAATTTTATTATTTATTAATTTTGATATCTTATATTTTTAATCTTATGCATCTACGGATGTCTTCTCTGGTTTGACTACCAAAATTTTTCTTGATTTTTTTAATTTCTCCCTCCATCCTTTCCTTAACATAACCCGGAAATGGTTCGCTCCTCAAACGAGGCAAATAATCATTTGTTTTTGATTGAAAATTGAAGTCAGAATAATCTTCGGTACATATCACTTTTAATTGTTTAATTTATTTAATCTAATTTAGCCTAATTGTATTTTATTATTTATTTAACAGTAAAAATCAATTTTTTATATTTTTAATTATACATTTATGAGCGTCATTCATCCTATGAGGTTATTTCGTGTACTATTAACTTTTTTTAAAAATCAACTTTGGCTACTATTTATTCATTGCCAAGGTAACGAATAAAAGAGTTCAACGCGTATGCTCTCACGGCTACATGATAAGACTTTTTACTATTTGTGGTGTACTGTGTACACATCTTAATATTTATTAAGGAATTATTTTTCCTGTAAAAACAACAATTCCTATTTGGAAGAAACTTTCTAAAGAAACCTTTGTTCTGTACCATATTATAGTCAATTTAACAATAAACTTGTTTAAAACTATTTTCGATTTTTAGACCCTTTCAATTATTATTCGCATCTTTTCATAGTTTCTTCATTGCTACAATGACTAAGAGCAATGCATTTATAATTTTTGTATCCATTTATTTCTTTGCCACTTGTTCTTGTTTGTAGTAAAAGTATATATCTTGTTGTGGTGGTGGTTGACTCTTATCTACATATATATATATATATACTTACTTTTGACAACTATAATAAAGGTCCTAGCAGCCTATTACAAATTCACCTTCATGCACATTCTTTCTTTCTTGGATGAACCATACTCGCTATATATCACATTACATAATTTTACAAAGTTGTGCAAGTTCTGTAATATATGAAATTCCTTTTTTATTTTGAGAAATGTTTATGAATTTTCGTAACATTAGAGCTTTACTATATAATAGCGACTAAAATATTTTTTACTAATTCATAATAAATTTATTAGTCTAAAGCTTCGCTAGCGCAACATCATCCACAATATCAATGTATTACGATGAACTGCGACTCTGCGATCTTATTTGACATTTGTGATGAGGAAGGTATTTAATAATGTTTGATGGTGTATGTAGCCTTGGTAAGTTGATGATAAAGTTATGGGATTTCCTTTTATTTAATGTATGACAATGGTGTATTTTAATTTTTTCTGATTCAAAAAAAAAAAAATACATTCTTCAAAAAGATCTCTTGTCCACTTCTTTTGTTTTAAATAATAATAATCATATAACCAACTTTAAAATATTTATCAACTATAAATAATTATAATCAATCAATCATCATGCTTAAAGAAGGATTTTGGCCAACAACATCTTCAATAGACTGGTGTGAAGATAATTATCAATATTCACATTATATTGCAGAGTAAATATGAGACATTTATTTTTCTTATTAATATAGTATCTATATATAAAATATACAAGTCTGATCCACGTATAAATAATTTATTTATTTATAAATATCTACATAGATTTTGGAATTCAGTATCTAGTTTAGCAATGATAATTTTTGGAGAAATTGGAGCAAGAATGAATCCATCAAATGAATTGTTTCAATTTAAATTAGCTTTTAGATTAATTTCCATTGTTGGGGTTGGTAGTTTATTATTTCATGGAACATTAACAAGCCAAACACAAGCACTTGATGAAGTAAATAAGTATTTTAAAATCAAAGCATTTTTAAATTAAACAAATGAACAATTAATCAATCAATCAATCTGTAGGTTCCAATGGTTTTGTCAGCGTTAATGATAATGCATCCATTGATTGAAACTAATTTTGGTAAGCAAGGAATTTGGTTGCCAATTGTATTGGTATCAGACGCAATATTATGTACACTTGCAGTTACAATTGCAAAAGGAGATCTACAATTTATATTTTTTCATTTTTCATTTGGATTAATAGAATTGATATCATTCATATTAATGTTACGTATATATAGATCAAAAAAACAATCTCACCCATTTATAAAGTATTTATTTGAAAGAGGGGCCTTAGTTTATTTCACTGCTATAATCATTTGGATGATAGATTTAAATTTATGTGAATATGTCAATGGAGGCACTAGATCCATATTACCATTTAATCCACAACTACATGCTATTTGGCATTTATTAGCAAGTTTTGGCTTGTATCTATTAGTTTTATTGACTTTATATAATTGGCTTTGTGAAAATGGTAAAAAATGTGTCATTAGTTATAGATTTGGTGGAATTATACCATTAATTGAAATTAATGATGATTATAAAAAATAATAAAACAATAAAAATTTTTCAATTTATCACCATAAGAACATTATAAAAAACCATTAATCCCACACAGGTCTGTCTCCAGCAAAACCAATCTCTGGGTCCTCTGACCAAATTTTGCATAATATTTATTAAAACACACGAGAATTATATTTTAAACCCTGTTTACATAATAAAAAAAAATGGGGGCTGGGTGATAAAGAATTTTCTTTAAAATAGGCTCACCAATATTTCGGTCCATATTCGGTTAGCGTGCAACGTTGAATTTTACCGAATTCTCTAAAAATTCATTAGTATTGATGAAGCATTGTTTCCTAATAACAATGGTGTTAATAATGATGCTAATAATAATATAACCAAAGTGATTTCCATAAATATAGATGCCTTGTTGGCAATAGAAAAAGTCAAATTGTATTTTGAACAATAATCAGACAATCACGATTAACAGATAATGAATGAATTGAGATTGATGAATTCAAAAGAACAAGCAAAAATTGATGATTATATAAATGATTGTTATATCTTTTTCTCTATAATGAACGTTCTCTATACTAATACCGAACGAAATTTCTCGTCCAAGGGGTTCGGTACAGAGAGCTTTGACTGTTTTATACACAAATAGCTTGATAGCTATTTAAAAATGCATCGGTCATCTATTTCTATTCACGTATACTCTTGTAAAATGAATGCCAACACCGCTGAGTGAACTGGACATTGCCGATATCATTGATGACGTGAGAATGGCAATGTTAATATTCTTTCATTGATCGAATAACGAGCAACACGTGAAATTAAAATATCAAGATAATTTTGAACTGCTCTATCTTCCTTTTTTAATCATTCTAAGTTTAGTTCTGGACTAGGATAATATCCATTTTCTTTTAAATAAGAAGCAAAGTAGTAGTCATTAGACTGTAGACCAATATCTATTCATGCTTTTGTTTGTTGATAACTAAAACGCAAACTTTCTCAATGCATTTGTTTTTCGGGATCGAAGTCAGGATGAATATTCTTTCAGTTTTCTTTAATCTTTCGGCTAAGAAGAAGAGATTTTAATTGTTCGGCTATTTCTTTCAACTTACTCTCCGGTCTTTGGGAAGTAGAGTAATTAGGTCTTTTGAAAATTTCATAACGAAACCAGCAATAACAACAACAAAAAAACGGCAACAATGAATGTCTTGGTCAAGAAATACCAAGAATACTAAAAGTACTTGTTAATAATTTTGAATTTTTTCTAATTTTTATTAGTGCCTCCTCCATCTTCAACCTCCTCAACCACCTCAGCAACTTCATAGGGAGCTACGCCAACAACGTTGACAGAAAAGACAAGCTCGACGACGCACAACGGCAGCACAAATATTATTTACTATATTTCTTAAGAAATTCCAGTTGGCGGTGGAGCATTTGGTATATGATGACGATGTTAATAAGGATGAAAATGGAGAGGGTTGGTGAAGATGGTAAGAAGGCGTTGGAGATCTGAGAAACGTGTGTGATATATTAGAATGATGATTGTTATGTGTGGATGCATACAATTTAAAAAATAAGGGCATTATTATTAAATCAAATAATTATAATATACATATATTTGTTTTAAAAAATTTTATTCATTATAAACAATTTAAATATTTTAAATATTTTGTAAAAAAATTAAAAAACATTTAATTAAAAAATAACAATTAAATAATTAAATCACTTCTATATATTCTTTTTCTATTATCTTTACACTATAATGTTATTGTAAAACATACTTATTCTATTTATTTAAAAATAACATTAATCATATCACCATCTTCCAAATCAGTATCACCAACTTGATCTGTGGGTGATAAAAATTCATCCTCAAATTTTAATCTGAATTGCATATTATCTAAAAGATTCTTCATACGCTTGAATTGACTCATTACTGCTTGAATTGTCAATGTCTTTAAAGATTTAATGATTGGTCGACGGGGGAATATTATTATTGTTAGATAAAAATACATCTTTAGGAAAAAATATTTTTAAAAACACCGTATAAATAATTTACCTTTTTAACTCTAAGTTTTGTAATTGTGTTAGATGCCTCTAATAATTTCAAATGTAAATAATCATCTTGTGATTCGTCATTTAATATAGAATCAGCATCATCAATATTAATAAAACTATTATTATGATTATTAATACTGCTACAAGAAGAGCTAGCAATATTACTACCACTACTTAAAATAACGTTGCCAATACCAATACTGTTACAACTGCTACCATCAACATCAACCAAATCCATTACATCTATCATGTTTGTAGATGAATTCTTTTCATTATTGCCATTGATATTATAGTTGTTATTGGTTTGATCATCGAAAAGTCCCAATTGTAAATATTTCTGATGTTCTTTTTGTTTTTTTATAAAATCATATGTATCTTTGGTATATATTTCTTTTTAGGGAGCGGAAAATTATTAATAATATTAATATATGCAAGTAATATTGCATAACACGTAATTATTAATATTACACTAAAAAATTTTATTTACCAAAGGTAGCTTCATCAGTGATTCCTAAACTTGCCGGGGTTCCCAATTGAAATACTCTAAAGTTATTATAAGTCAATATTAGGTTTTGTTTGGGAATTTGTTTTGATGAACTTACAACATCCATGATAATTTGAAAATTGTCAGTCTGCAATAATAATTGGATTATTTAATTAATAAATTGATTATTATTGCTCATCATCATCATCATCGTCATGATACTCGTAATACTTACAAAGTCCATTAGGAAGTTTATAGGTTTTTCGAATTCCTCGATTCCATTTTTATTAAATTCGGTAATTTGAAGATTGGGGTGTCTTATTGGCAAAACATTTATTTGAATTTTTTTATTTGCAGTGTAATTAGAAGCGGATTGCTCTTGGACTTGACCTTCTTGAGCTTTATACCCTTGTTGCTGTCTTATCTCTTGACTGTTACCGTTACTATTATCTTGTTGTTGTTGACTTATAGCAGCAAGTTCAGGGACAAGTTCATCATCATCATCATCACCATCATCATCATCAGATTCAATATTATAATACGTTTTGAATGAGAAATTTTCTTTTAAAAATTTTAATCTTTTAGAATTTGTTTCTCTTGTATTAAAAAAATAATTTTATATTAGAAAAAATAATTTTATAAAATTTTCTTTAAAAATTTGAAATAAAAAAAAAACCATTTACTGTATTTGTAAATCAATCAAAACTTGTGATGATGGTTGAGGAGGCGGTGTAACTGATTTCCTTTTATTATTATTATTATTATTATTATTATTATTATTATTATGATTGTCAATACTGTCTTTACTACTACTATCGTCATCTATATTAACATAATCATCTCTTTTGTCAACATCGATTAAACAAATAGATTCTTTTATAATAGTAGCATCTTTTTTAATTTTTGAAATTGTTTCTAAACTCTTTTCTTTGATTTTTCATACAAGGAAAATAATTTTAGCGGTGAGCAAATAATCATATAACAATATCGTCATCATAAAAATAATGAAATCAACTTACTATTTTTTTTGATAGTAGGCGATTTCTTAACAAAAACTCTTTTACGTGTAAAAAAAATATCATCTTCCTCATCTTCCTCATTCTTAACAATAGTATCTTCTTCTTCGACTTTCTTCTTTTTATTCTCATTCTCGTCATCGGCATCGATACTAAATGCGCTATTAAAAGTGTTGGTGCTGGTGGTGTTATCAATATTACCCACATTACTATTTTCTTTATTTTTGTCATTATCAATATTATTGTTGGTAGTAGTATCAAATTTGATCTTAACATCATCATTTATAGTATCATTATCACTATCAATATCAATATCAATATAATTCATGTCATCATATTTAAGACTATTACTACTATCAGTGAGATCTATTGTATCAATATCATCATTATTCTTATATTCAATAATTTTTTGAACTTTTTCCAAAAGTTTATTTGACGCGTCTTTATTGTATGCAGATATAGACTTAGATGTAGTTATAGTTGATGTAGATGTTACCGATGATGTTGTTGAATCAACGCGTTCTAAATTTGGCCTTAAACTTTTTTTTATGGGGTTTATAGTACGTGGTTTAATCTTTATAGTTTGACGTTTTGTTTTAATTTCTTCGTCTGACAACATGTTTGTAAAAATAAAAAAAGCCCAAAAAATATTTTTTTTGGAAGGAAAAAATAAAATTGTGTAAATGAAAATAAATAAAATAAATGGCTGCTGTTTATCCAATCAACTCTTGTGACCATGAGTGGTTTATAAATAAATAAATAACAACAATTTACTGTTTTCATGACCCGTAATATAATCACTCATCCACTGTTTAGTTTTATTAAATAAATATAAAATTTAAAAAGAAATAATAGTTTTGAAGTTGGTTTTATTATTATTTACTTATTTTATTCGTTGAAGTTATTTATTCTCGCTACGATACAATCGCGTGATGTAAAAATAATTTCTCAAATTTGTTTGATAAATGAGAAAAATATGGCGTCAATCATGTGGTTCACAATTATAAACTCAAGGATTTACAAAACTTTAGATGAAATAATAACTAGGTCACAACTAATGATGATGTTTTGTGATAATAACTTGTTGATTGATTTCTTATACTGGAAAAATATGTGGACATACATATTATTACTATTATTATTGTTATTGATCCCGAGACAAATTGCATCAGGAAAACGGGGTAAATCCATTACTATGGCATATAAAAGCAGGTTAAATCCGTCGGAGAAGCCTCAAAAATAAATTTATCAAAATGATTAAAATCCAACTAACAATCAAACGAATCATTATTATTATCGTCCATACCATATGGTTTTTTACTTTCGCCTTTAGCAGTTTCGATAACGACGGCCATATTATCCAATAAATAAACAAAACAGCCATATTGGTACTACTTGACGAACAGAAAATGTACGTTCAAGGTATTCATTTTTCACGAACTGGATTATCAAACCACGGTAAGATGTGAGTATTTTTTTTTTATCCAACACCTGTGCAAGTAGCTTGAAAACAGATGGTTTTCGGAATTACGAGACATAGAATGCCCTCCCTTGGTAGTTCTCTAGTCATGGTTGTAGGTACTACCATTTTTATTAAATGAAATGTAATTCGAAATAGAAATTTCAATAGGTAAAGGCATTGCGTGCACCATAAATTCCGGGATGCACTAAGATTCCGCAATGATGCTAAATATGTATTCATGCCATAGATAATTGAATTGGAACCATAGGTTTCGATGGGACAGTATTTTTTTCAATAGGCTCCGACGAGGTAATATTTTTCTTGAAGGATCGCACGGGAGAAAAAAATAGACGGATTCAGATCCATTATGCTTATTATTCTCTACTCATTGGCTCGACTTTGTAATGAAAATACTACTATATACATATGAAATGAAATATAACCATAACCACATGGTTCGAAACCATGTTAATAACATTTTTCTTCTTCTTCTTCCCCACAAGATCTTTTATTTTTCTGATTCTACTTACAAAAAAAAGGGTTACGATTAATTAACTTGTTTGATTGTTAGCTTGGTTAATTTGATAAATTTATTTTTGAGACTTCTCCAAGCCTGCTTTTATATATCATAGGTTTACACGGGAAATTTATATTAGATCAATAGTAATATCATGAGGCAATTTATCTCTCTATGGACGATTATATTGTAATTTTTTTTGTGAGCAATCCGATTATAAATTTATAGATGGGGAAAATCTTCATACTCACGTTTGCTGGCCTTATCTGGAATGATTTGGGATGTCTTTCCACAAATCTACACAAATATTCTTACGATAGGCTTCGTTGGTTGTATAATGCACAATCGTAAATTGACCTGACCATACAATACAGTCTACGATACCCTGAGATTTTTGGGGTAATATTTTTGTTTGGCTACTTTGTTCATACATTTATTTTCATTTTTAAAGAATTCCATTATATATAAATATTTTTTTTTCAGCAGATATTGTTATTTAAAAATCTAATGATTATTCAAGATGGAAATAACTTCAAATGATGAATATTCGGATAACTGCAAAAAAGAATATGCTAATAATAATGATGATTATGTCAATCATGTGGCCCACAACTATTGACTCTAGGATGGACTAGTATGATAAGGATACATTAGATGAACTAATAAAAGCGCACAGCTTGAAGCAATATATTATGATAGTTGGGATTGTTTTCTTATAAAAATTTGAAAGCTATTGAAAAGAGTGGTAAAGGTGGAATATCTAATATCAGGAAAGTTATCGTAGAATTGTTTTAAGAGATAGTTCTGAATTTATTGATAAATTAGCGACTTGTAAAACGATTCAGGTTTTAAATATATATTGCCATATTAAAATGGTATATATTATTATTATAGTCTAGCTCAACCAATTAAAGTACAAATTGTAATTATAGTAATTGTAATAGCGGAAAAACTAATGAAACATTTAAAATAATCAATTTTTTTATTTCAATATCAGTTTGCCATCAAATATACGATTCACCAACTTTCATCAGAATCAATATAAATTTGTGGCGAGCCAATTGACAGAAAATATTTTGTCAATTAATAGGAACAATCTTTAATTCGAATGGCACGTGACCTAAAATTTCACTGATAAATAAATCGCTGAAATTTAAATAGAAACAATAACGTTGTTAGGGCTTTCTCTCTAATATTAAAACGTAGCGTTCGTTATTTTCCAAAGGTTACATTCACATTAATATATACTACAAACTTAGTCATAAATGCTTTCGAATAAAAAAACGTAGAGAATTATTAAAGATAGAAACCAATTGATTTAAAGGTTTTAACTTGACGATTGGCGGAAGATTAATTAATTATAAAAATAAATTTTTTTTTACACGTTAAAAATGATTTACACGCATAACATAATAATAATAATAAGAAATAAATGGTGATGACAGTGATGATATAATGTAAGGTTGATTGATCGGAGAGAACAAAAAAATTTTACTTTTTAACTATTCTTTACGATATATATGATATATATATATATATATTCTCTTTGAGAAAAATTAATCTGAGACCCAATAATTAATTAAATTGAATGGATCGAAACCTTCTCAGTTTGATTTTAATAAATCCATCCACATCCATCACCATAATCATGATTCAAATATATACGCGAGAGCGATAATTTATTATGAAAAATAATGAGTAATTTGTAATTATTTAATTATACATATATAAAAATATAAAGACAGAGTTAAATATCCGAATTAATAAAAATTTAATAAACCTTTCTCCATATTAATCCACGTCATTATTCTGAGATATAATTCAGCAATTAATAATATGGTAATGGTAATGGTAATGACAATGGTAAATAATAATAGTAATTATAATTATAATCTATTAATAATTCTAATGGAGTTGATTGGAATATTCTAGAGGTCATTTGACTTGAAATACACTTTCTTTTAACTTACTTACTAATTCACTTACAGTGATTATTATAAATATTGAAGCAACAACTCCCTTTCTTTTTCTATTTTTTGAATCTCCATTTTTTTCTTTTTCTTTTTTTTTTTTTACTTTCCTAAAAAAAAAAAAGAAGTTTTTTTATTCCTAATGTTTTAATTTATTTAAAGGAGTAAACAATCTTATATTAAAATAAAATAAATTCTATTATATTATATTCACTCGTAGTGGTAATAACAATAACAATAATAATAATATTTTCGGATCATTTTTTTTCTTTATTTCAAAAAATTCTTTCTCATCAAATAAATTTTTTTTTCCTTCTTCCGACTCCACGTACAACTTAATATTTTTTCGGTTTTAATATTTTTTCTTTCTTCTCGGATATTATTTATTGTCATTCTCTCTCCAAACAATATTTTTATTCAAAAGAAACAATGCAAAACAATTCGAAAAATTCTGTTAATAAAAACTCCCTTCGAACAAACCTTCACGGCCTTAACCCTAATAACAATAATGACAATAATTTCCAACCTTCCTTAGAATCTCCAATCACCGCCACTTTTCCTGTAATGACTACTAATACAACAACAACGCCTAATTTAAATAATTGCAATGATAATAATCCAACGTTTACTTTTGTTCCAGCGCCATTTCCAGTTCAACAATTACAATTCCCTCAACTACAACTGCAAAATACTACCAATCCACCAGCAAAACCTAAACGAAAACAAGTTAAAAATGCATGTGGTATGTATGAATAAATTTTCGAAAAAAAAAAATGAAAATAAAATCTTGTTTGTTTGTTACTTTATTTGGAATGTGTAACAACTATTTACTAAATATGTACTAATACAATGAATAAAATTAGTTAATTGTCAAAGGGCTTGTAAAAAATGTGACGAAGGAAGACCTTGTCAACGTTGTATTAAATACGAACTTACAGACACTTGTCAAGATTCCATTCGTAAAGAACGTAAAAAAGGTATAAAAAGAGGACCCTACAAACGAAGAACTAAAAGTAATTATCATTTTTAATTATTGTATTTCTAATGTTATTTTAATGGCAATAATAATAACAACGTCATTTCAAAAATCATAGCAGAAACAAAAAATCTAAATTTAATAGATAGTCCTTCAACTCCTACTAATATTCCCGTTGCTGTTTCTGGAATGGTTTCGACTGAAGCTAGTAATATTAATAGTACGTTAACAACAGCGACAGCAACAGCGACAGCAACGGAAACAGCAACAGCAACGCCACCAACAACAACAAATCAAATACTTTTGAATCTCCCGATTCAAGAAACAACTGCAATGGGCGCACCACAAAATGTTACATTACCAGAAGGTTTAGGTCAATTTGTAATGATCCCCGCTCGTGCAGGTAACACTCCTTACTATGTTCTTATACCTTCTCAATGTTTCCAACAACAAGTAGTTTCACCACCACCACAACAACAACAACAGCAGCAGCAACAGCAAGTAGCACAGCAGCAATTATCTTCTTCTCAACAACAAGAAAATGATTCTGACAAATTGTCATCTCAAAACGAAAATAAAAATTCGGAACAACAAAATTCCGAAAAGCAAGAAAGTTATTACTCTCCTTCTACTGCCACTGCCATTCATCAAGGAAGGGGAACAGAGGTTCATGAGGGGAAAAGAGAAAACGGCAAAGAAGATAAAGATGATGAAATGAATGTTGGTAAAAATATTAACGACGATGTTGCTGATGATGGCACTAGTAATAATGGTGATGGTGGCGGTGATAATGGCGATAAAGACAATGACGGTTCAAATTTATCAGTGCTTTCGCTTGTTTGTAGCGAAATGTTGGATAAATCGCATGATCCAACAAATATCAATGAAAAATCTGACGATTATGATTATGAAGATGTTAATAATAAATGTAATCATGAAGACAACCACGAGAACGTAGGATGGTATAATGAAGAAAATTCTAAAAAGAAAAAATCATCATTGGTAAATTCTAAAGGAAAGCGTCGAGTTACTACTACTGATGGCGACCGTCACAATAACAACGAAAACAATGAATATTTAATCAGTAATGATAAAGATAATAATAAATCTCCGGTATTTCCATCGCCATATGCTGCCTCTACACCTTCAAAAAATCAAAATAAAACTGTAAATAGTAATAGTAATGATGATGATGATGATAAATTTATTAATTTTATAAATTCTGATGTTTTTTCTGCCGATGATGACGGTGATAGTGATTTGGTTGGTGTTAGTGATGATAATGACAACATGAGAATATTTCATTCGCCTAATAACAATGGCAATAGCAATAGTGATGATCAAATAGATCAAGTAAATCAAATTAATTTATCAACATCAGCTTCAAGTATTGCTGCAGTTACACCACCATCAAAATCATCGAATGGCAACGGTCCTTTACTTTTCAAGATTCCTGCTAACACTTATCCGGTAGCACCTCCTCAATTCGTCCCAGTAAAGCGTGATAATAATGATGATGCTAATTCTTCTTCTAATACTACTACTGATCACCACCACCACCATCATCACCACCATCATCATCATGATGTTAAACGCCAAAATACTGGTAATGGTAGATATATTAGCAACAATGGTAGTCAATGTAATCACGCTGGTAGTAATAATAGTATTAATAATGATGGTGATAGTAATAGTAGCAATTCTGCTACTTCCGCTTCTTCTAGTAGCAATAGTTATGTTTTATCCAATAAAAATCTTGTTCCTGCTTCAACCACACCATCGGCTACAATAGCAAATTACACATTAAATCAATATTATGATGAAATGTCTTCTTCCAACCAATCGCTTCTCTACCCTCAAGCCAAATTCTTGAACAAACATCAACAACATCTTCAACAACGACATCTTCAACAACGACAACAACAATTTACTTCAAATTTGAATTCTCGCGTTCCGCACGTCTTTAACTCTAATAATTGTAATTCCACCGCCAGTGCTACTACTGCTATACCAGAAATTGATAAATCATCAAACGGAATTCATCGTCATTAACATCATCACATCGTTGTATTTCTCATAACAATGGTAATATGAGTAATAGTAATATGAAAAACGCCATTTAAATAATGAATAATAATGAAACACGTCAATTAATCAATAATAATTATCTTTGGAAAATAAATTAATTGGTAGAGCATTTTAAAGATTAAAATTGCTAAATACTATTTATTTTTTTATTTATTATTATTTAAAATTATTTTAATTGTTTTTTTATATTTACACATATACTATATAATCAATAAATACCATTTGCATAATAATTTATAAATATTTGCTTTAAAAAAAAATTAGTTTATACAATTAAATGAAGTAATTGAGAAAAATGGGCAAATCATAAAGGTTATACCTATAAATTTTCATGCACAGTTGGCTTTTTTTGTTGCACAATTAATAAAAATTTCATTCCAAAAACTTTTCGTGCACTGATAATGATTGAACCTTTGACATGTATAAATAATGTTGTAATTTTCTTAATTTCATGTATCATTAAAACATTGTAGCATTAATTTACATTATTAACATCATTAAGGTTCCGAACAAATCAATGAAATTCAAACCAATTCAAACCAATTTGAATTGAATCACTTAATTTTTGATTCGTTTCATTCAAATCAAATTCAAATCGAATCGAATCGTACTTTGATTTGATTTGATTTGATTCAAACTGATTTGAATATATAATTTGATTTGAACTGATTTGATTTGATTCAAACTGACTGGTTTGAATCTGTAATAATAACTGATTTGAATCCATGATTTGAATCAAATACACTATATATAATAAATGAAAAATCTTTATTTTAATGT